AAGTGGCCACATTTTTATCCATACCTACAGAGTAGACAGACATTTTTAAAACTATAAACCTTTGGAGTCTCAGTGTAATGGCAGAATAGCAAGAGAAAGAGATCCAAAACATGTTTTATTTTTTATACATCTCAAATCATTTTTTATCATTACTTAAGTCTTTTAATGCTCAGAATTTGATAAATTTCTTTTACATATTCTAATAACTTGCATTTCATATATTTTCCTTCTTCCCAAAACATTCTTTTTATATTCCCATACCTAAAACCTTTATATTTTAGACCCCATATAAACTTTATTTATATTTAAATCTCATAACATTTAAAATTTAAAGTTTCATATTTTCATATCTTAAACTATTTCCTCAGACCCAATACAGTATGTATTCAATCTCTAATGACATACTTAAGCCTTTAAATTTTTATAAAAATATTACATCGTAAAATATCTTTTTTCTGCATAATTCACTAGTTATCTTCTACTTGGAATTTGATATGTTTTTTTCTTATCTTAACCAATAATAATTTGTATCCGATTCTCCTCATTGATGGCAAGTATTTGTAACCCATTTAACTGAAATGACCAAAATCCATGTATTTTGTGTGTATGTGTGGAAACAAAATTGCCCTGCCTGCAGTGCTTCAACAGGTTCTCGACCACACTAAGGAGGGAATGTAGGGACAGGAGATCCAAAGGAAAACACACCAAGTCTAGATTCTGATTAAGGTGCCACTTTATTTCTCTTCCACAAAGGTTTATATAGTTCCGCAGGGTGGGGGGAGCAAGAAGCTGTCATCTACATAAGGTGGGGCAAGCTAACAGGATGTTCATGTAGGATGTTTACAGGGTGAAAGGGTCAAGGGCTCTGACTCAATGTCCTGTTGCTAGGCAACCTGACTGTAAGATGATCTAGTTCCCTGTCTTATGGGGGGTCTGTATTTTTCCACTAACTAGAGATTCTGTCCTTGTCCCTGACATCTCCCCCTTCTTAGTAATAATCTAAGGGCCAACATAAACCAGGTTCGAATGGTCTAAAAGGAGGGCTCTGAAAGAGGCTTTGCAAGGAGGATTACAGAGGCCCTATCCCTCTAAAGGTTGTGAAAAAAGGTCCGAGAGGGAATGTCTCTCCAGACTCAAGCACCACAGGCATCCCCATAGTGCGGGAATCAATGGACCGTGCAGTTTTTTGAGGGAGCGGAAATGGGTAAGCTCAAGGCTGCTACTGCACAACCGCTATGCAACAGGGCATATAATCCAGGCTCTTGGGATTTGGGGGTACCATGGTCCCCAGCCTGTACAGTCCCAGCTGCACTCCAATCATGCCTTGAGTGAGCCTTTTCCCCCCACACAGGTGCAGCCTCCCCCGAGTGAAGGGGTCTGTGTGGGGCATCTCTGTCAGGGTAAATTTCAACCCTGGAGTCCTGCATATCAAAGCAGTGGTAATAAATCTGGATCTGCCTGGCTGACAGATCTGTTATTTGGCGTCAGATGAACTGAGTGAGCCAGGAAAGTGCCCAAAGGCAAGGACCAGGAGCAGGCCTACAAACAGGTCCTAGGAGGGAGGAAAGAAGGGCCGTTACCCAAGGAGAGTTTGAAAAACTAATTCTTGAATCATCCAAGCTCTTGTTCTCCTTTTTTTTTTCTAGTCCTTTGTTGACATTTATTATACTATCTCTGACTACCCTGGTGTGGTCTGTAAAGAAGCAACATTCCTAGTTGAGCATAGTACAAAGGCCACCCTGTTGTAAAAAGAGGAGATCCAGGCCTCTCCTGTTCTGTAAAACTATCTCAGCTAGGGAGGAAAGGGATGGCTTGAGGGCAGAAATTCCCTGTTCAAATTGGGCAATATCCTCATCTATGGACATGTGAAGCTCAGAGTAATGTTGGTTGGACAGGACCAGAGAGGTAATTTCTGTGCCTGTTTCCACTGCTCCAACCCCCAGAAGGACTGCTAAGGTGATGGCAGTAACAGTCTCCCGTCAAGGCAGTCATCTCAGCGCAGTTTCTCTTCCTAGAGATCTAGGAATTGATCTGAGGAATAATAGGTTAGTCTAGTTGGAAGGGACCTAAGTGCCCTGAGTGGCATCTCTGGTGCTACCCTGTTTGCTGTGCTACCTGCCAGCCACAGCCTGTGTCAAGGTGGCCCAACATGGCTATGACCACCTGTGACACCAAGGCCAGCAAGTCCAACAAGCCTTTCTGACACTTTGGATGAAAGTTCAGCACTGCCCTTGGAAACATGACCCCTGCTGTCTGACTGGATTTGTGACAAGCAGTGTCCCTGCTCAGCCCAGAATGTGATTGACTATGGGACTTGTATACTGTGTGAAAGGTCTCAAACACAGTTTGCTGTAAAGTTCCCACTGTCCCCCCACAGGAACTCTGAGCAGAGTGATAACAGAGCTAATGGGCTGGTGGGGGTTGCTGTGGGTGAGGACAATAGCCTGGATTGCTTGCCAGAGGGACAGCATTTGAAATAGAAGTTTCCTCAGGAGAGGGGCTATCTCTCCTGGGCAGATCAGGTATATTTACAGGCGTTCTGTTCTGGTAACCATCTGAGAACAGAGTGTATCTCTTTTATGGTACCATTAACAGGATTTAGTCTTTCTGTGATGATCAGCAATGGTGTTAATGCTGAATGTTCTCCTACCTCACATCATGAGAATCAGAAGGCTGCTGCCTCCCCCCCAGACTTCCCCTATCCCTGCCGGCCCCTGTGACTCTCTCCCCATGAATGAAGGAGCCTGCAGGCACCAAGGTGGAAAGGCCCTCCCATCCACCCTCCACAGTCCCATAAACTCCCCTCCCCCCAGTGCCATTAAGACCCAACCCTCCTCAACATCAAGCATCTGGCCACACCAGCACCCCAATCCCAGGGAACCACCTCCAAGGCAGGCTGGGCTAAGGGTGCGAGGCTGTGACCTTTCTGGGGGCATTCCCTTGGGAAATATCCGGGTTGTTTACAGAAATAACAGGTGGGGGCCCCAGGCTGTGTGAAGACCTCAGGGCTGCACCTATGGCCAATCCCATGGCATGGGCTGCACCAACACCTGAACAGAGTCTGACATATCCACACAGGTCCGCTCTGTTTTTATGAGGGCGGAGGACTTCCTGGCAGGCAGGGTTTGCATTTTTAAAGGCCAAGCGTTTAACAAAGGTGCTTTTGTGTTCGTTCCCCCCAAAAAGTCTCTCAGCTGCATCATTTAAGCAAGAAACAAAGTCACTAAAAGATTCATCAGGGCCTATACAATCTTTGCTAATGAGGTGGTAGTCAAACTCTTTTGGGGCAGGTGTTTCCAGGCCCGGACCCCTGCTTTTGAATCTGGGCCAGGAGGCCATGAGGGAATTTTGTCTGTGCTGCATTTGTATCATAAGGGGGGTTGCCGAGAAGTTTTTTTTAGCGTCCAAGTTATTGAGGATGGCTGTTCAATATTTTTTTTTAGCAACTTTTTGACAATTTTTTGTAAATTCTGTTTTCCAGAGGACAAAGTCACCCCCAGAAAGAGCAGCATGGGCAAGGAAATACCAATCATTAGGAGTGATTACTTATGCCTCACGAAATCTAGCATGTATGGTGTAGCTCTGTAAGCTCATCTGCACCTTAAAGAACCAGACACTGACCTCACCGCCTCTCAGTCTGTTCTGTTCTCTCTCTTCACCCCCCCCTCAACATCTTTCTTTCTCTCTCTTTCCCCAGGCCTGGTTCTCTTGCCCCCCCCCCCACAACCCTCTTCCTCCTAATAAAGCTCTGATACTGATACTGGGGTTTGTCGTGGCCATGACCTTTCCTCACAGTAACCAGCGCTGGTAACCAGCACAGATTATCATTATTACAACCTTCAGGACAAAAAGTGACCCTGATGGAAGACAGAGGAGGTACAACTTGAGAAGCCTCACAGTAAGACTAAAATAAAATCTGTTTTCCTGGACACAAACTGTTTTTCCTCCTTTCTCTTCTGCATGACAGTTCTTATCTTAAAAATGATAAAATCACTCAAACATATGCTTTTGACATTTCTCAGCCATGAGCCACTAAGCCATTTTACATGCCGAATGTTTACCAAACCACGTGGGCAGGTGAATGATAAGGGTGAAGTCCCGCTTATGCAAGCTCCTTGTCCATGCTGAGTCACAGGAATGCCAAGCTGATGACCTGATACAAAATCAACATTATTAGGTACTGCTTCCTCACTGGGATAAACACAGCCAGTTCTGTGCAATAGAAGTCAACTCTAATCTAGCTGTCTGTAGAACTGACTTGACTAGGGTCCCTGTCCCATACAAGCAGCTGTGTGATTTTGAGAAAGAAACTATCTGGTTGTCATTTTAATTTTCTCCTTTTTGCAATAAAGCAGCACTATCCGGTTGTCCTCCCAGAGGGCCAAATGGGTTTTTCTGCTAAGATAAGAGTATGTGAGGCTAGGTTAGTAAGATGAGGTAAGGTAAGATAGAATAAGAACTATGGGATGGTAGGTGTGCAGCTCTGACCACAAGGCCTCCCTCTGTAACTTATCAACAGACCACCGAGGCCTGAGCATCCTACTTGCCCTGTGCTGAGCTGGAAGTCTGAGATGTGCAGACCCCAGTTTTGAGAGGCTCCACAATATCTGTTCCTTTGAGACACTGCAGTCCTTTCCCACCAAAGCCACATCCCACCAGAAAATGCCGGCCTCCAAATAGAGCCACATGCAACACATCCAATCATAAATGGCATGTGAGCCTTAAGCCCGCCCCTCAAGCACTCCGGCCCAATGAGCATCCGGGCAGAGACTAAACCTCCCCCATTCCACCTTGGTCTTCCTGCCTGGGACATTGAGCATGCTCAGACTTGAAGTCGTTAAGGAACTGCTGAGGAGCTGCTGAACTGTTGTGGAGGGGGTCTGTGGAGTTCATCTGGTGAGGGCAGTCCCAGGCCAGGGTGGCCAGGCTCAGGGTCTCCTCAGAGTCTGGACTTCCTCCCAGCCCCGGTTCTGGGGAGGCTGAGGTGAAGACAAACCTACCTTCTTGAAAGCAGTCTCCTCTTAGACCAGGTCTAGTGAGGCTGTCTTCTCAGAGCCTGGAGACTCCTCACAGCCCAGTCCTCATGAGGCTGAGATGCCCTCAGTGAAGATCCAGGATGGCAGGATGCAGTTCTGAAAAAAATTATAGGCTTTCATCCAGATTATTATGGGCTTAACGTTTTCTGTATTTCTTTGCTTCATCTTAGTACCTGTGGGATCTGCAATATCCCCTTTCTCATTCCTTATGTGAGTAACTTTAATAATCTTTCATTTTTCTTTGCTAGTGTGCCTAGAGATTTATCAGTGTTGTATAGATTTATCAGTGTTATATATTTTCAATTGATTGAATTTTAAAAATTGACTAGGGGCTTCTTATTCACTTTCTTTTAGTATTTATATAAAATTTTGTCACAGATTACAAATCTACTAATTCAGGTGTTAAGTATTTCATATCTGTAATCCAAGCCCTTGGGAATCAGGATTCCATGAGTTTGAGAACAGTGTGGGTTACACATGTAGCTCGGGATACACTGCTACAGAGTGAGATCTTATTATAGAACATACAAACAAAATCCAAATGTATTCACTTTCATATGAAATCATTTAATGTTTTAGTTTTTTCTAATCATGGTTTAGCTTATTCCATAAATTTGGTTATATTTTATTTCCACTTCAATACTTTTACTTTCACTATTGACTTTCTCTTTTAATTTTTTGATTATTTTAAGAATGAAATGTTTAATTTTCATTTATTGGGAATAATCAAGATACTATTCTGTTATTAACTTGTGTTTTAATTTCCCTGTAGTCAGGTTGAACACATCACCTTATATAATTCTTTTATGTTTATTTAAACCTGTTTAGTAGCTTGTAACGTGGAGTATGTTGAAAAGTGACTTGTGTGTTCTGGAAATGCTGTCTTAAGCTGTCATTTGAGGAGGTGTTCTGTAAATGTTTGTCAGGAGAAATTGATGAACAGCAGTGTTCATGTTCTCCTTGTCCTTAATGATTTTCTCTGCTTTTCATTCTTTCTTTTCTCTTTTTACTATAAAAGAACTTAATTTGGTTATAATTTAATTTTTTCTTATTACCAAATCTTGTCATATGGATATATCAAGAGTTAAATGGAATTTTCTATTCCAAATATAACATCTTGAAGTCTTGTTATAGAGGAACTTCCGTCCCTATGTCAAAAATGGACTGTATTATTCAATATGTTCATGTTTTTTAAAAATTTAAAACCTCATTCATTTGACAACTTCTTATTGTTTAGTTCATATTAACAAATGGTAGAAAGTGAAAGTCGATTTTTGTTATGTATGCATTATATTTTTTATTGATTCTTTGGGAATTTCATACCGTACAATCTAATCCCACTCCTCTCCCAGGCCCTCCATATCTGCCCCTACCTCTTGTAGAGTCCCACCACAAAGGAAATAAAAAAAGGAACAAAAATAAAATAAAAATAAACAATAATAATAAAGAAGAAAATAGTAAAGCACTTTGCTCTCCCAGACCCCATGTTTCCCAACTCTCTATCACCTCTCCATCACCTCTCCATCACCTCTCCATCATCTCTCCATCATCTCTCCATCATCGTAGTGGCATTGGAAGCTGCTGTGTATCATGCAGGTCTACAGTATACCATTCATGGTATACTGAAGCCACAGGCCTTGAACCTGACCAACATCTAATAACACAATGAACATTTGCAAGTGAAGATTGTGGACTTTCCCTCCTTTTGTTCTCTCAACTCCCATCTCCAACTTCAATTGTGAATTTGTCAGTTTCCATCCACTTTCTCATCTGGGTTGGAGGATTTGTAGTTAAATACTTTTCACGTAGAGTGTTCTGATTGCCTGAAAAATTGATCCCTTTTCACCACACACATGTATGTTATGGTATTTGTGTTATTCCGAATAGATACTTTCCCTAGTAAAACTTACTGTTCTTCAGTTTACTTTGGTAGTAACAAGGATACTAGGGTGTTTTAAAGAATTCTGACTTTTCCTGCCTCATTACTCTGACACTCTGCCCATACACATGTTTTCTATTCTTCATAGAGTGAAATCCTGTGTGGTTGTTTATCTTCTCTGGTGATTTCTCCCATCTAGAACTTTATGTTTGATGCAGTTACATGGTTAGTTTGAGTCTTCTATCTTGATTGTTTTAAGTTCACTGTTTCTGTCCAAAATGCCTTTTGTGTCTGGTTTTTGGTTCAATTTATCATTCTATTTATCCCCTCACCTAGCTTGTTATTTAGACATCTTTAAAAAAAATAATAGCTGCTTTTCAGGCACTGAAGGCCCGAGAGCTACTAAACTCAGAGCTCCTTTCTTGCTAAAAATGCCAGAAAGCTACCAGACCTCTGGAGCTCATCCATTGTGTGTTATATCAGCTGAGCCAAATAATAGTTTATATTTTACAGATTATTTGTGCCAAAATTTCTGTCTTTTGTTATGGTAGAATTCAAGACTTTTATAAACCTCTCTTAATTAAAAACACATGATAAATGACAATATGGTGATGGAATTTAGGCACACTGTACCTTTCAGTGACTAAAACTAATGAAATGCTAAGAAATCCCTTTTAAAGTTTAAATTTTATGCATATTAATTTGCATCAACTCTGTACAACTCAGGTTTCTCACATGATCCAATTATTTTATATTTCCCAGGTGTCATCTTTTTATGGATCTGGGTTCCAGAATGACCTTATAATACTTATATTCTGTTTGGTCACAATCCTTTATTCTTATAAGTGAGAGTCTGACAATGAACTGACATCATGTACTGCATGGATGCAAGCCTCTCTGCCTCCCTGGGTCCATAAAACTAAACAGAGAAATTATGAAACAATGATTTCAAAATTGTATATATTTGTTTAGACATGTAGGTATGTACACATGAGTGCAGTTCCCACAGAGATGAGAAGAGGCTCCAGATTCCCTGGAACTAGAGATATTGATGTTTGATTATGGGTCACTGTGATGGGTGATGGGAACTGGACTCAAGTCCTTCGAAAGAGTACAGTGTGCGTTTTTCTGTTAGGCCAACTCTAGCTCCATCATTCAAAAACATTAAGAGAAGTTTGGAAGATAGTAAAAATGTAGTCATTATGTTTAGTTGTATAAAAATATGAGCCTTTGTGCAAATAAGTGATTCTTTTTCTCTTTTGTTACTTCTAAAATTAATCTTATTATTTTGTACATTTTAATTATATAAAATAAGTCATTTGTTTCTGTATACCACCTTGTTTCCCAGTTATACTCCCTCCATTTAATATATTTTCCCTCACACTTCCTCAAAAATTTTAACCCCTTTTTCTTATTTTTCTAGGTTCCATTTATGAGAGAAGATATGTGTTAATTGTTTTTGGAGAGTTGCCTGTTTCTAAACTTAATGATACATAGTTGGACCAATTTTCGTGTGAATCATGAAACTTTTTCTATAATTTTTATTTTGAATTATCCTGCATTATTTATGCATATTGTGTGGTCTTTAGTCATTCATATAATGGTGGTTATCTGAGCACATTCCCTGAATCATCTGTTACAGGTAGTGCAGGGATAAAAAATTGCACACAAACTCACCTTACATATGTAGTGATTCAGTGTCATTCATTTCGATAAGTATGCACACCCAGGAGTGGTACAGCGGGCATGTCTATGTTAAATTTTCATTCATAACCATCGTTACAGCGGCCACAGTACCTGGAATGTTTTAGTTTACAATGAACATAGCGTATATGTTCTTGATCCACCTTCTTTTCAGCATTTGAAATATTAGATTTGGTGAAAAATGTAATCATTTAAAAGACACTTAAAACTGGAATTATGGAGCAATCTGAATATTATTTTACTAATGTGACAAATGGGTCTGGGGCCCAAGAAAATGACCACAGAATAGTATTTGAGCCAGGCTATAAATCCTGCTGAAAATTTATTCTCATTGAAATGTTTGCCATGCATTATTCTGAGTGGTCAAAGCTGAACCTCATATTACTGCATGGCTGGTTACTTCAAAGTGGTCCATTTGGTAAGGAGAATGTACTTGTGAGTACCTAGTTTAACTTTGCACCCATATTTGTAGTTCATATATTTGTTGGCATTTGAGATACTGTCTCAGATATGCTGATTGTGAAAAATTGTTTTCAGCATGCATAAAATGAAACTCTGCTCTCTATCTTCTACCATACACAAGCTCTGCACCAAATGTGTCATAGACCAGATACCCTGAAAATGCCAAAGAACACAGTAGAGAAAATACTCCCACTGCTAAGCACAGGTAAGGATTTTCTGAATAGGACTCTTGTCTAATAGTAAATGAGACCAAAAATCAACAAATAGGATCTCATGAAATTAAGACTTTTTATTTCAGCATAAGAAAATATAATTTAAGTGGTAGCATACAGAATATGAGAAAATCACTAGTGTAATAGTGGCATGAGAGTTATTGTGTAATTAACTTCCTTCTGATCTGGTGAGGCCTGCACTATAGGAAGGAATTAGTACCTGCTACTGTGTACCTGTTCAAAAGACCCTGGCTTGACAGGTCATAGCCCTTTAGATGATGCTACTATTGTTACTTAGTGTAGTAGCAACTGCTTTGTAAATATTTTTGTTTTACACATAGATCTCTTCAGCTTTCAGTCTTGGCCAGAGGTTCTCTTTCTGTGGTATGCAGCAGCAAATGCACAGCCTCATAACTTCAAAATGTTGAAATGACCATGAATGCTCATTCCTAAATGGGACCTGTAGATCAACCACTTCCACTAGGCATAGGAAACATCCTGGAAGTGGGTACTGAATGTCCTGACTGAGCATGAGGGAACTGCTGTGACATGCTGTCCTTTGGACATAACATAGCCATTGCTCACTCACAAGAGCTGTGATCACCTGCAGCTTCAGGTGACAGTGTTCAGGACTGACTGTGAACACACCTATCTGTCCTGAACCAGACAGCTGGAAGATGCAGCCTGCTGGTGGAAGACAAAGCCTACTAAGCCTCTGTCTCAGTACAGAAAATAAGAAGGAAGCTAGAAGTTGGCCATTTGTATTACTTAACAGTTCCCCTTTCTTTATCTGTCTGCCTCCCAGGGAAGACTGTGATTCCTATTCCCTCAAATTAATGAGTTTATTGAGGTTAATACAGGAGTATAGGTATGGAATTACCTATAGGAATATGAATAACTCTAATGTGTGGCATCACAATGGCTCACATTAGAATGGGTGACTCATGAGGACTAGAACTCTGAATGTGTCTGCATGACTTGTTTGCAGCTGAATGGGACAGAGGGTCTCCTTTCTTCAGTTCTCCTTATTAATCACCCATTTAACCTTGGGAGTGGAAGGGCCTTGTTCATCCTGTAAGTTTCAGCTTTCCCAGCCATGATTAATTGCTGGGTATTATGAACCTCCTCTACAGTGATATTTTATTGGTACTAAAATGTGATTTGTATGTTAATAAATAAAGTTGCCTGGGGGTCAGAGCTATTAGAGCCATAGCAAAAGCTGGGCGGTAGTGGTGAATGCCTTTAATCCCAGCACTTAGTAGGCAGAGCTAGGTAGAGCTCTGTGTGGTCAAGGATACAGACAGCATTGGAGACACAAGCCTTTAATCTCAATACTAACCATAAAAGACCTGGAGGTCTGTACAGACAGGCAGTCATGTGGTTGGGTTTACAACCAAGGGGAAGGCAGACCAGAAAGTCTATATAAAGACAAACACACAGGAAGTAGGTCTCTCTTGGCTGAAGAGGCTAGCTGCAGCAGACGGCTAAGGCTGTTACCTCTGATCTCTTGGCTTTCTTCTTTGCATTGGTTCTGTTTCTTATTTAATAAGACAGTTGGTTACATCTACACTCCTCTCTTTTTCCATAGAACTTTCTGAGACTTAAGGAAATAGTCCTGCCCAGGGAAGAGCACACCAGTTGGATACTCAATATCAAATGGTCATTCTTGAAAACATATATGCTAGCTATACAGAATGACTGGCTTACATTCAGGAAATATAAATATAAATATAAATATAAATATATATATATATATATAATGTATATATATATCTTCATGCACATATATATGTATAAGCATGTAGCAACAATTAATGAAAATAGAGGTCATTAATTAGAAATAGAGCAAGGAAGAGTGTAGAGAGTGTTTGAAAGGATAAAAGAGAAAATAATGTAAAAATCTCAAAAATAATAGAAGAGAATTCATGTCATAAAAAGGAAAACTGTTATACAACACTTTACCCTTTCCTTAAAATGTTAGTCGTTTCTACAAGTTCACATTCTCCCATGGAGCTCTGCAAAGGCACTAACGGCAAACACCAGTCCTGAAGTCCCTGGTGAATCAACCATTTTATGTTTGACCTCTTCTGTAAGCACAGCCCAGTGCTCCATCATGCCCAGTGAATTGGCCGTAAAGCATTGCTTCTCTCATATGTATTTTATCAGGAAAACCCCATCCTTCCTTCATCATCTTCCAGTCCGTGTGAGACCTTTGCTTGTGATAACCAAGCATCACCAATGCTTCCTGTGAGCCAGTCCATCAGGAATTATCTCTCTCAGATTTCATTAGATTACATAGCCTGTATTTCAAGGAGGTAGAAGTAAGTGCATGACCTACTTTCCCACTTCTATAGCACTCAGATTGATCTCATCTGTTCTCATAGCCTACAATCCCATGAGCCAAGCTTTGGCAGGATGTTTCATTGATCTTTTGAAAATCTTTTGTAATTCAAGCAGTTGAGAGACAGATTACTCCCTGACTAAGACAGTCTCTTTTTGTAGGCCATTTTAAGGCTCTCAAATATAAGTTCTAGCATGGATTTTGCTTTTCTCTGTATAAAAGGTTGAACTATGTGATATCTTCTATCACCTTTATTCCAAACAGAGAATTACATTCTAATTGTATACAAGTGTACTGAATTTTGGCCTAAAAATTTTAAGAGCAGACTTAGTAGGGGAGATTCTAGCATTGCACTCACCAGCACAAGGACACCGCATTCAATGATTAGTCTGGAATTCTTTAAGGAAGGAGGAGATACAGTTTCATATATGATCTTGATTTTTTATCTTCCATAAAACTTCTGACTTATGATTAACTCGATTTTCTGGATTTGTGTACATCTTACCATTTCCATTTAAAAAACTCTACAAATTTTACCTCTTGACGAAAATTTATTTAGTGAGAAAATGTTTTTGTGAACTTCATGACAGAGAACTAATAAACACTGAATATATCAACTAATTGAATTCATCATATCTAAATTACATTTGTCATATAAAAAACAAACTAAGATGATGTGTTTGCAAGTTATTAAAGTATCAAGTTTTTAGATGTTGTTTTTTAGCTGGTTTTAAGCACAGTTGCATTTTTTAACAAACACACTTTTACACAAGATTTTTAGTGTCACAGTGTCAGAGATCTAAGGAATGTCACATTTCAGCAAGTGCTGGGGAGGATATGGATTACAAAGATTTTGGGTGGGAAAATATGGAGAATAAAACCCACAGAGAAAAGTTTTTATTTGTTATAATGTAACTAGCATTTTATAAGGCCCTGTAAAAACTTAGGGAGGCAAAAATGATTATAATATCCTGGATGAATAAGGGAAGAGCAAGAAGAAGGAGAAATAGAAGAGTAAGAGTTGTAGTAGTAGAAGATGGATGCATGGATGAATGTAAGGATGCATGGAGGTAGATAGATGGATAGCTGGATTGATGGATGGAGATAGCTGATGGAAAGATAGATAAATAGATAGATGATAGATAGACAGATAGACAGGTAGATAGATAGATTGATATAAAAAGAGTATATACAGTTTTTCAGATAGATGGATAGCTGGATGGAGATAGCTGATGGAAAGATGATAGATAGATAGATAGATAGATAGATAGATAGATAGATAGATAGATAGATAGAAAAAAATAGAGTATATACAGTTTTTCAGGCTATACAATACAGTGGCTATTGTGTCCCACAAAGGCAAAATGGACTCAGAACATTTGTCCTTTTTTCCCATATTGGTCAGAGAACTAGTTATGGGTGAAGAACTCTGGATTTTTTCTTTCAGCATCTGTAGCCTTTTGAATCTGAACAATTCTAGGACTTCTGGTTTCCAGAAATAGCCCTCAAATTTGGTTCCGTTCCAGTTGTCTCTCAGTGGTCCCACTTTTACTTTAGGCTGATGTATGAGGTGAGGTGGGACAAACACTGGTCATCTAGGGAGCCCTGGCATTCTAGACCCCCAAGAATCTTTCTAAATGAATGCTCCAGGTTCTGTGTAGAACTCTAGAAAAGGAACAAGGAATCCTGGATACCGCAGATAATACAGAAAGGTTGTGACAAAACAGGCTGAATTCTCGCATGGTGATATGCATTATTGCAATGGAGAGGCAAGAATCTCTGGGGCAGGAATATGCAACAGGCTAGACACTCTGAAGATAAAATTTAGATCACTTTCTTTTTTCAGAGCTGAGGACCAAGCCCAAGTCCTTGTGCTTGCTAGACAAGCACTCTACCACTGAGCTAAATCCCCATTGCCTGACTTTTAAGGACATACTTTAGAGAAAAGTTAGAGGGAAATGGAGGACTTAAGACTACCAATGTCTGAGGCCATCTCATAGACTTCCCTAGAATGTATTGGACTGATTGTGTTTGTCTTTGGGGGATGTTATTTTTATAAAGACAACAGACTTAGTAGGGGGGTTGATAGCATTGAGCTCACCAGCACA